TGAACTTCCCTTAAATACTCCCTTCTAACTTGTTTGCATAAAATGCAATACTAAAAACTCATTCTGGTAGGAAATAATAGATGGAAAACTAGAATAGACAGTAAAGCATGTTTAAACTTAAAATAATTACTAGAAACTTAAAGTAACCTCTACAGTGTTTTTCAGAGTGTTTGATATTAAGAAAACTGCTTTTTAATAGGAATGATGTTCTTTTCATAGGTCTGTTGAGTTGATTTCCTATGATTTACGTGAAAGTTTCCATTTCCTCAGGATGTATTCTTTTTGTCATTCACTGTTTACTTTGTTATTTATTACTGATTAATTAAGAGTATTTTAGGTCTTTGATTTGTGACTTTTGCATTTTAATTTTTTAGAATTCGAATACTCTGTAGTGATACATTTTAATTTTAGGTGTTAGATATACACTCGAGCTTATAATTACTCATTCCTGCACTTCAATTATGTATTTGCTATTAACACTGTTTTTATACATTGAGATGCAGAATGAATTAATTGCACAATGGATTCAATACTGTGCTTATTGGGAGAATAGAAAAACATTAGCAATCACTGCATTCTAACGGATTTCAAACTAGCATTAGCACACAGCAAAAAACAACATACGTAACGCGCATGCAACAGCGTCCTTACAGGTACGCAAAAGAACGTAAGAAAGAGAAGGACATTAATCATTGCATCTCCGGAAATGAAAGTTTAAAATATAAATATAAACAACATTAGAGACGTAGAGATATGAACTGAAAATAGATTGTCATTATTTATTCTCAAGTTCTCTTCCACTTAGAAAGTTTTTTCTAAAATTTTGAAATGCTTTTTTCTTTGTATATTTTTAGTTTATGTTAAAAAGAAAATAATTCAGTGGCTAATTCAATGCATTATAATTATTTTAAATAAATGTTAGTCTGAAAATTTAATATTTACATACGTTTAGTTAGTACGTTTGAATTACAACGTGTAACCAACAAAAATTTCTTAAAATTATTTTTTTACGCGAAGCAAATACTGCTATAAATTTGAGTTTTTTCCTTTTCGTCATTATTATTATTTATGTAAGTTTAGTAAATCTTTAGTAAGTGAAATTTGATATTATACTAAAATTTACTTAGTTTTTAAAATTAAGTTTGGTATAAAATATTTCATTTCGTCAGTTGCTTTCAGGTCGTGCATTTAGCTAACATTCAATTTGAGTTTGATACTACTATGTTAAGTGTTCTTTGTAATCGTAAAAAAATAACAGTTTCTACGAATAACTGAGCTGCTCTGTTGATAAGTTGGGTGTCATAGCCTTGGGCTAGAGTCCGAATCCCGGACAAAGCATCTATATTTGTAAGCGTTATAGTGTCTTTGCAGCATAGGATCATTTAAAACAATTATTGAACCGAAAGCCTTCTCGAGAAGCTGGTGGTAGAGATAGAGGGAGGAGAGAGAAGGATAATCCTTCAAAATTGGAACGGAGCAGGACAAATTTTATATCTTGCCAAAGACCAACCAGAAAGTACAGACCACGATGAAATTCTTTTACCTGATCTGCCTGTAGATTCAGATTAGGAGAATTAGAGCAGCAACGATTAACTGATTGAGTATTTGAAAAGTTTTGAAAAAAGAACGATTTTTTCTAAATCTTTTTACCAAATATGCACAAAATTTTCACCATATTTGCTAAACGTTAAGCTTTCACGTAATATTTTAGTACATTTGATAGAAATTGAATTTCAGTTTGAGCTCAAAACACATTATATATTATTCCCACCAGTTATTGACAATTTTAGACTTAAAATGCTGTAACTCGTTCCATTATGCTTTTAAAACTACTTCAAAATTGCTCTTGTCATATGTTGGCACGCTATCACGATTTCATAGCATTTTCATTGCGATTTCCTTTCTCTGCGACTCAAGCGTCACCAAAATACTCGATAACGCGTGCCAGAGATAAAAAATGGAAGATAGAACATTCATAATTCAGCGGGGAAGTTAAAAGCTTTTCTTTGTTCTGGTTGTTTTATACAACGTTTATTAATATTTTCCGATTTTCGAATTGACTCTGCTCTAATTATTGAAGTCTGTTGTGATTGATAAATAAAAGCACTTAAATTTTTTCATAAAGGAATTGCATACAAATATTAAATGCACTATTCAAAATTTAAATTTGTTAATTTCTTAAAATAATTTATATTCATTAAATTACTTTAACATTTCATATTGGCTATCGTATTTCAGAACTTCGAAATCTTGGTTTGTAGTATGAAAATAATCTGCGATACTCCCAGAATTCGTATCAAGAAGTCCCACATTTTGAGTTTCTCCTGATACTCATATTTTGAGTCCTTCTTGATACAGAACAGCCACGGTTTCCCGTCAGTAAAGAAATAAAACTCCTGGTTATCCATATGTGAGTTATCCCTACGTCGTCTTCTAAAAACACGTCAGAGTGCTAATTGAAAATGCTGAAAAATTTGGAGTATTTAGAAACAAACTCAAGACTTTTGATGCAGTAAAATTCATTAACCCTTGAATAAGCGCGTAAAACCGAAATGTCAATCATGACTGGAAAATCTTTTCACTAATATCACAAGGTTTTACGGCTGAGCTTTTAAAAGGCATTTCTGATTTCAAGCATTTGCAATTGAAAAGTAAGAAAATAGGAACGTATAACTGAAAAGAAAACAAGGAGATAAAGCTTATAGTATCTGAACAGACCAAGATATTCCTGTTGTAGCATTTGAGAAGAGCGTGATGATGATGTTGATTAATATAGCGAGTTGGGTATGAAATGTCTAATTCAGCTGTTAGATTATATGGATGATGAGTTGAAATTGCAGGACATCATAGCTTTGCTCAATGTTTGCCATATTTTCTATACCAAATGTGTACCTGGCTTTCCTCCTCCCAAAAGAAAGGAGGAAAAAAAAAAGAAATATGACAGAATTTTCGAGATGAAAAAGTGGAAATCCATGTAAATTTTTTAAATTAAAGTAATTAAACGGTATTTTAGACAGGACACAAAATCTCGAATGACGTTTCTTTAAAAACACTGAAAAGTTCATCTTGGGGATTCTATTCTTTGTTTTTAGGACTCTTGAGCAATTAATTGAAATTTTACCGATCCATTTTCAGATTACCTTTTGTTTATCCGAGCGTTTATTAGCATGAACGAACCAGATTTCAGTGCATTCTAATTTAAAAATTGCAGAAACACAACTAGGAAACTTCTTTAAGTGATATATTCTACATTAGAATTCTCAAATGTTTAGCATTTTCTTTAGAAATTAAAAAAATTGAGATTTTCTGGCTATTTTATAGTATGTCATGCCCTTGTTATTTCAATTCAATAAATCGCTTTTAAATATTATACAGGGGGTATTTACACATTTTTAGAACGATTTCGGGGCAGTTCAATTAATGTAAATTAAAAATGTAAGGAGTATGTTTGATATCTTACATAATTTAAAATTATTGCAGTACTTAAATTTATGGCAGAAATTTGCTGTAAAAACTTCGCGCAACAAAAAGATATCGCGTTAATGGATTTTCATTTAGGTAAACTAAGGAAAAGCAACATTTCACTCAAGCACGCTTATTGATTATCAGGACTATCCAGTTTACATTAAACGAGGTGCTCCTGATTTTTCATTTGTAGTTATAAAGGGCATTGAAGACCTAAACATTATAGTAAGGTCTGAAATGTGATTTTCTCTCTCGCTTTTTTTTTCCTGCAGCTACATTTCACGAAAGGGTCTTGGAGATTTATCAGTAAGGAAAAATGAATAAAAATAGTTGAAAAATAATGGTATTGTGACACTTAATCTCCATATTTCTTTCTTTCAGCTTATGATTATTTCCTTTCGAATATCAAAAGTAACTGATCGTTACTGCCTGTGAGATCGAGTAGAATATTCGTTTAGAAATTCGACTGGCTCTATAAACAATATTTAAGGAAAATTCAGTCGATGATGATTTTTCATAACTAGTGTTTCATAACTAGTTTCATTATTAGACTAAATTTACAATAAAATAGTTTCTGCCCTTGTTAAACAATCTCCATACAGAGTAACGATTTTATGATCCAGTCTGTATAATATAAATATGCCGCTAAGGACGGAAAAAACAGATTTACGGTGCTTAACACGTAGGGTCATTTTCCATGCTATCCAGTGGAAAAACTTCAGAAATCTTCATTAACTCAACAGTTATTACCTACGATCTTCTGACTCAAGTAATATTCACAAAATGCTACTTTTTAATACTTTTAAGAGACGTCTTTGTTTTCAGTCAGTGATACAGCACTGTGTGTCATTAATAAAGATAAATCACGATAGCAGATTATAGGCAATCGACGATGTATGAATTAATTTTTATTTGTCATCGTTATTATGAAGATACCTTGTTCACTGGCATAAGAAAGGAAATCATTTAAGATGTCATTTTATCTGCACTTTTAATACCATTAAGCAGCAATTTTTTATGTCAGAGGTGGAATAAATAATATATGTTTTTATACTTGACTGTTTCTGACTTACAAAGTTCAAAAAAAGGAATACAGAAATAAGAGAAATAATTTTTATTGTAAATTGAAATTCATTTTGAATTGAGTTTTAATTTTATGAGTTGGCAACAGTAAGTATCTTAATGAAGAAAAGTGAGATACTTGCATAATTATTTGAAAATTCTTAATTCTAAACTCTTCTTTGAGTTATTAGATTGGCATCTTAAATTAATTCTTAGATTGACAGCAGTTTTTTTCTGTCATTGTTTTGACGAAACATTTCCCTGCTTTCAATAGTATTCAGGGAATATTGAATATTAAATACTGTCTTCAGTTTTGATAAAACATTTACCTGTATGTGAAACCATAAAAGAGATAATATTATTTCTTTTTATTGAAATAATCTCACTTTTTCCAATAATGAAAACCTTATGTTTATTAACATTACAAAAAATATGCAATCAAAACCATAAAATCTTTTGCTTTCTTTCCACAGCTGGTACTGGAAATTGTGTTGTTGATAAAGCCAGAAGAAATTGGTGTCCATTTTGCCGCTTGCAAAAATGTTTTCGAGTCAGCATGAACAGAAATGGTATGAAAAACTCTAAATTTTATTCACATCAAATATGTAGTTAAAATATTGGAATGTGAGTGTTGATGTTTAATAAGTATTCTGTTATCAGCATGGCAAATATATTTAATGATTTAAGTGAGAATTTAAATCGTTTAAGGAGATATTTTAAAGGAAATCAGCGTTTTAAAAACTTATCTGTAAGTGGTATTCAATTCTTTAATCAATCTAAGTATTCAAAATCAACGACAGATTTCAGCAATATCTTTTACAGGGTCTTCTAATAAGATATATATGATTTTAAAATAAATAAAATTAAAACGTTTGCAGAAATAACCATATTTTTTATATTATTTTGAAATAATTTTCTATGACAATATGTTTTGAATAAAACATGATTTATGTGGCCCATCCGACTTATTACACACAAGCGAATTCGGTGAACCTGAATTTTGATGACAGTATGCAATAACTCGGGGATAATGTCACAAATGCAGCGTTTATTCTTAATGCTTTAAGAGATCGTTGTTATCTGGCATAGACCACTGATTTCAAATAACCACATAAAAGTAATCTGAAAGTGTTAAACAACTTCTGGGAGGCCAACTAGCAATTGCATTTCGTAAAATTATCCTTTCATCAACTTTTGCTTTCGTAATATTTTCGATAGTGGCGTCAGCAGTGTGATATGTGGCAACGTTTTGTTGGAACTACAATCACTGAAATCACTGTCTTCCAAATTTGGCCTAAATTTTTTTTATCATCAATCGGTATCACTCACCAATCACTGAAACTGGATCTTCTCCCTTATTTTTTAGTGGGGGGCGGAGAGAAAAAGAAAAGAAAAGACCGGATGATGCCCCCTATGCCATAAAATCAACGATACAGTGACCTTTTGCGAATGCAAGGGCTTCTCGTGCATTTCTTGTGGATTGTTTTCACATGAAAGACATATAAATTAAAGCAGAAAGGAGCGTCATTTAAAAAAATATTTTTTACGCAAAATTTTTGGACATTAACCAAAGGTTCTCGAACCTATTAGGAACTGTCAGAGCATACTAAACACAAATAAAATTTGGTGACAGTGTAACATTTTAAACATGGTTTGCCATTTTGTTTTAAATCATATCATTCTTATCGAAATACTCTTTATTTCTGAATCATACATTCATAAAATGGTTTTACATTTTAATGAATCAGTGTTCTACAATATTTAACTTGAAGCATCCGAGGAACCAAAATGCTGCTTAAAAGAGATTAGCCAAACAAAAAAGGCAAACCCAACATCGGAATTAAAGCATGATTTTTCTTCTGAATATATGCGCTCTAGAAAGAGTCGACCATGGCATTCTGTGATTGGGGATGATACTTCAGCTGAATCTGTAGTCGAAACATCGCTGATTTCGCCCCAGTGAAGTTCAGGAGTTCAATTTTGCACTTTTACAATAATTCTTGATGAAAGTTCCTAAATTTCAACTAAGCCTTAAGCAGGACTACTTTTTAGCCAGTGTTATATAACATGGTAAAGACTGTGGTATTGCTGCGACAGGTACTCCTACGAACACGACAACTTTTATGAGTTTATGGCAATTTATGTTTCGAAACATTCTAGATTAGTTAGCTCAAATTCAGTTTCAGAAAGTTTTAACATATTCAATTATTTACTTTCAAGGTAAAAAATTTTAATTTTCCAGAAAAAAGGTGATTTTTGCTAAAATTAAGTTACCTCTTTTATGCAGTTCCCATTATGAGATTCATAGCAATATATTGAAGGATTGCATTGAACATCTGTTCAGGTAATTCAAAAAGTTGTAGAGACATTAGGTATTTTTGGAAGCAGGCAAGATGAAAAATTATCAACGCCTTCGGTGGGAATCGAACAGTGGACCTCTCAGTTACGCGCTGAGCGTGCAGACCACTACATCACGAAGGCTCGCTAAGAAGGCGGGAGAAATACCTTATAAAATATATCATTTTACAAGCGATTTTCCTTCTGTTTGAGATTTCGATATTTGTTTTACTGTTAAAAGTGAATATACAACTTGTCCACAAAAGTTTTTAAGCAACCTTTCATTATAGTTTATTCTGCTCCAAAATGTTTTAAATGGTGTGAATATTCGTGTTTAAAATAAAAAATTTTAAATAAAAAAAGTAGTTAATAAAAATTACGAAATTAAGCATTTTATGCCTTCCCCCCTCCCTATAGTTATATTTAAGAAAGGCTTATACCCATTATTAAAAAAAATATAAGAAAAAGTTTACTCATGTATACCAAAAACTGACCGAAAGATTTGATTTTAAAGGTCGAGATCATATTCAGGGGTCGTACATACATTGAAGAGAGAAATATGTGATATGTGAGTAACTAAAAATGTAATATTAATTTAGAAAAACATATTTGATGTTAATAGATTAAGTGATGATTGAAATCAGATTGCCGTTTATTGGTATTAATCAATATATGCATTTCCAAAAGGATGATTTTACTCACAGAATTTGGCGGAATTCATGTTCTAGAAAACACTGGCAGGCTGGCATTTATCCAGTTCTTAATATTTATTACATAAGAAATGAAAAATATTTCTTGTTCGAGGAATTTTTGTATGACTACTAGATTACTCAAGTAATAAAACTGCATGAAAATATTTATAACGTACTTTTAGCATTTGAAAACTTAGAAATTATTTGTGTCAAAATGTTTAGGCATACCAAATATACCAAAATTATAAAATAAACTATGTTACACTCTAGAAACTCATAAAAGAATACCATCAAAAGATATTTAAAAGAAAAAATCAAATTAAAATTGAGCTAATTTATTTTTCAACCGACTCCCTAAAGCAACCTGAAAATGATGTCAAACATTTTGAACTGAAACATCTTCAACAAATATTTAGTAACGGGAATCGCAATTTTTCAATTTTATTTTTTTAGAATGAGTATAAAATTTTTCTGAATATAAGCGTAGCATCGTATAAAATGTTAAATTTCGTAATTTTTAACAAAATAATTTTTTTCTTTAAATTTAAAAGATCTAAAACATATTTGTTTCATTTAAAATTATTAATTACTATTACATCATTATTTAAATTATTTCTGGCTATAATACATTACTAAACACAGCTCGGTTTGGGAGAGGTTTAACAGCCATCAAAATACACAGAGTAAATTATAGTTTTTTGTGTATGTAAACATTATGTTCACATGCTCGCAGTAACTCCCTTTTAGCTGTTCAAGAGGAGCGAGGACCAAGAAATAACAAAAAAACAGCAAAGGAAATTCCAGAAGCAGGTACAAGTAACAGCAACTCCGAGACAATGCAAAAGAATCCTCATCGTTGCAGCAGCAGGGCTTTGAAAGTTTCTTCTGGAAGCGATCCTCCTGTCAGTGCTTTTCGCCCAGTCTATCCAGGACCAAGATTTGCACCTTTGTCCTTGCAACCTGGCTATATAATTGGTAAGTTTGGTTTATTTGATTTCAATAAAGCACATGGCTTTGGCAGCATTCATCTTGCAGGCTTAAACTTTAGACCAGTAGTCTTCAAATTTAATTGCCTTGCAAAACCCTTAGAACTAAAGGTTTTTCGGAAAAGCCCATCCCACGCTTAGAAAAATATCTCTTAAAATACTATTTAAAGTAGATAAGTACGTTTTAAGTACTTTATGTACAGATACCTAAAGTATTGTATTTTTTATTAAAACTTTTTAACACAAAATCAGTGCAATTTACTCACGAATAGCATTACCTCGAGCTCCAATGTCACTTACCCTTGCATTATATTTAGCGACAGGTGTGTGCTTGCATTTGTTTTACACGAGCTGTCGAACTGCTCTACTGATATTATCTTCAATCGTATTTCACATTTTTCATTTAATTTATTTATATATTTTGTTTTCTGTTGCCATAAACGGAAGAAAATATTTTTTTTACCTAAATACATAATTCCAAATGGTATTAAAATGTTTTTTGGTATAAAAGAAAATTCTAGTATTCTGTATGAATCTAAAACCAAAATTCAAGAGCTGCTCTCGCTTAAATTAAATTTTAGTGTCGAATTTCCTGCTATATCAAAGAGCTGTTCCTTCTCCTTCGCTGGCAATCCTTTTGCTTTATCGTAGTACTCGAACGGATCATTTATTCAGTCATTCTTAGATTTTTTATTCTGGGAAATACACTCTTTTGCAAAAAACTCGAAGCACCAAGAAGGTCTTTTGCGATCGTGACGAAATTTGGTATACAAATACATCTTGATCGAACATGCAAATGATCAAAGTTTCAAGGCAAATGAACAGGATTTGTGATCATAGCGCGCATTTCTAGTGCGCAATTTGCAAAGTATAAAACCAGTAACAGAGGCAGAAAATATATCTTTTTTTTTGCTGCTGCTTTTGTAATTCCGTGAAGAAGAAACTAAAGATGCCATTACGTACGATATTGAAGACCTTACAGACAACTAAACGACTTCGAACGTGGTCGAATTATAGGGGTCATACAGAGCAATAGGCCGCCACATGCAGCGTACAGACACTGCTGTGCAAAGATGATGGCAGCAATGGTTGCTACAAGGGAATTGCCGACGAAATAAAGGCCCTGGAAGGCCAAGGATCACAAATGCGAGGTAAGATAGGATGATTGTTCGCTAGGCCCGAACTGCCCCAACGGTATTATTGTCGACTATTCAACGCACTACAACCACGTCTATACCTCTCGTGGTACCGTCCACCATCTCATGGCGCTGGTCTGAGGCGGGGTTACGCCTTTGACCCCCACAACACCGGCGGAGACATCTGGAGCGGTGTCGCATCCGATCATCATGGCTGTCATCAGACTGGTATCGTATAGTATTCAGCGATGATCCTGCTTCAATCTTGAAGCAGATGACCACCGTGTTACTGTCTGGAGAGGACGAGGCCAGCGGTCCCAATCAGCCTTTGTTTTACAAAGGCATACAGCCATACCTCCTGGTGTGATGGTGTGGGCCGCTATTTCTTATGACAGCAGGTCATCTTTAGTCATCCTCCGTACATCTTTAACAGCTCAACGATATGTTGATACCATCCTGCGACTGGTTGCATCACCCTTCATGGCACGTCATCTTGGGGCCATTTTCCAACAAGATAATTCCAGGTCACACATACCGCTCGCATATCTGACTGTCTCCGTGCGGTTGATACTCTTCCTTGGCCAGCAAGATCACCAGACCTTTCACCAATTGAGCATGTCTGAGGCATTTCAGCCCGCCAGATTCGGGCACCACAAAATATCGCATATCTGGAGTGACTACTGATGAATGCCTGGTAGAATGTGTCGCAGGATAACATTAGGAACCTCTATCATTCCTTGTCTCGACGAATTCAAGCATGCATTGTCGCCAGGGGCGGTTCGACCAACTACTAATTTGAACACTCAATGGGTGATTGTGAACCGTGAACAGATCTTAAAGTTTTAGTAATTTAATTATCTGTGCATGAGCTATACACATATTCAATTTATCAAAAACAACCACTTCCTTCATGGTGCTTCGATTTTTTTTGCAAAAGAGTGTATTTTCTTATATTTTTCTTCAATTGAAAAAGATGCTCTATTGTACAATTTTTAACACTCGTCTAAATTCATCTTCCATTAGAAAACCGTTTAGTTTCGAAAACCATTGCACGTCATTTTCTTTAACATATGATGGCCACAAGTTTTAAGACCATTTAGTAACTAAATATATTTTTATATTTTTCAATTAATAAACTCTAGTCAACTAGAGTGAGAGATTTATATTTCTTTTCAGTTTTTTATTTTGACTCTCGGAATCCCGGGGTTCCCCGGAGCACAGTTTGAAGACCACTGGATTAGATTGTTTACGTTTAAGCAAAGTGGAGGTTTTTTATATGCTTAGTTCATAACATATTATATAAAATTCCTCTTAAGAATGGCGTCGTTCATGTGGGTTTGCATTTATGAGCATTTGTTTTTGAAAATGTGAAAATTTGCATACATAAAAAAGGAATGAGATGATTTTCTTTAAAACTTCTCGGCTAATAACTGAGAGTAATATACACGAAAGGGCCATTACATTATGACCACCCTGTTAATAATATGTAGGACCAACTTTAGCCCTCAAATCTGCAAGCACTAGGCGTGGCATTGGCTCCACAAGGTGCTGATACGCAGTCCTGGGTATCCTGTACCGAGCGCTCACAAACTGGTCCTGCAGTTTCCGCACTTTGCAAGGGTGGCAGCACAAATTTGGTTTTACAGGTGGGGTCGCAAATGCTCTGTTGGATTAATGTCAGGTGAATTTAGAGGCCAGGACATGACTTGAAAGTCATTGCAATGTACCTCGAACCACTCCCTGATGATTAGACCCTTATGACATGGTCCATTATCCTGTTGGTAAGCACCATCTCCCCCGCCGGAAATACTGTTGTCATGATAGGGTGAACCTGGTCTGCAACGATCTTCACGTAGTGCACAGACGTCAGGGATTGTTCTATGGAGATTACGGGTCCGAATGTGCTCCATGAAAACATTGACAGCACTGTAATACCCCGGGTACCGGCTTGTCTCCGTCCAACTGTGCATCTGGGACCCAGGGTTTCGTTTGGAAATAGGCGCATTACCACACGCCATCGATGTGATGGACAGGTGACAGGTGACAGCAGGGCTGGACATCTGGACGGCTTTCTAAGACTACTCGGGTGTTGTCCGAACCCTGCAACTTTCCTTTACTATTATGCTGTAATACGCATTCCACATTGTATAGAGTAGCTACACTAATTATGCACGGTGTCTTGTATAAGAGTTAATATCTGCATTGCTACAAATGGAAGTAGTACTATGCTTTAAAGTGAGAAAGAGCTTTTATGTATACAGGCTCTGGCTAGAAGACTTTGTGGGTATCACTAGTGCACAAGAATGTCAGCAGATTTCCAAGGCAAACATACAACTATTATTCTGGACGGCGAAGGTCCTGCCCCAGCTCCTCTAGTTTCGTCATGATACTATGCAATTTTTTAAACAATGTGGTCTGCTTAATCAGGAAGCGTATTGAAAGTGGTACCCTCGGTCGGTAACTTAATGTACCAGTAATTAGTCGGGGGCACTTGGTGAGGTAGTGGTCTGGAAGTCCTGTATCGCCACATATGCAGATATCTGTTCCGTTCTGCTTTTCCGCAAAGTAAGAAGGGAAGGAGCCATGTCCCGTAATGAATCTAGTAAGAAAAGGGGCTGAAATAAGCCGATCTGTCCTTACTTTAAGAACAAAATTCGTAGGTCCTTCGGCTTTTCTGTGTCGTTGCCCAATCCTCTTTGCCACATCTTTAGTACTGTTGCTGTCGCCGCCTTTTTTGTTTGTTTGTTTGTTTGTTTGTTTTCAGATGGGATTTAGAAGCGGGATTGCAATATGGGTTGCGTTGATACTTTGTGCCGCCTCCTTAGCCAAGGCATCCGCTCGCTCATTGCCCTGGGTACCAGCATGAGCTTTTACCCAGGAAATGCGTATTCTTGTTGTATTTGCACTCCTTAATAAATTCTGCACATCCGTAATTAATGGTGCTGGATGTGTTGGATTTTTTATGGCTTGAATTGCCGAGAAGCTGTCGGAGAAAATGGTAACCTGTCTGTTCCTTTTGTGAATTGACCATGCGATTGCTTGTTGTATTGCCATAGCTTCGGCCTGGAAAACGGAGTTTTCAGGGCTGATAACATTTCCATGTGTAATGACTGCAACTTTTTCGTAGGCTACAAAGGCTCTCCCAACTTCCTTTTCTATCTTCGAACTATCTGTAAGGATTATGGGAAAATTACCTTCAACACTTGGGGTGAGAACCGGATTATAGAAAACTTCTACTTCCAGGCCATACTGGGGTGGGTGAATGGCTAGCCTTGAGCTTTCGGTTTCATAGTTTAAAGGGTCATAGGCTACATCTCCATCTGTGATGCATGCCCTAAGCTGTGAAACTGTTTAGACAATTGCTTCCTGGACTGCCCTTAGGGGAAGTGGAGTGAGTCCTGGCAACACCAAGGCAGACACAGTCGAAGTTGTGAGATCGACTCTTGTTATTGCGAGTGCAAAATGCCTCTGCGCGCTGTAGAGGATCAGCTCCTTCCTGGTGGTCATTGGAACGGACCAGATTGCTGCCACATATGTTAATATTTTTTCCACAACTGTTTGGTATAATATCTTTAAAATGTGAGTGCGTAAGCCCCAGTTTGCACCCTGCATTTTCCGCAGGCTGTCAGCTATGTGATGGGCTTTTTGTCGCTGCTGTTTGAAGTGTGGAACCCAGGAAAAGTCTTCATCCAAAACCATTCTGAGAAGTTTCAACTCCTTTACCCTCTTGATCGCTGCAATTGATCGCTGCACGGATTTCTAACTAAAGTTTGCCCCGGCTTATGGTACACAATGTATTTTGACTTTACTTTTGAAATTTTTAGTTTTTTTCTCTGCACAGAGGTTGGCGAAAAGAGAGATTGTTTCGTTGCAGTTGTTTTCAAAAATGTTCCTCGACTTACCACAAACTACGAAAGTGGCATCGAACGAGATTCGTCGGACCATGCAACTTTCTTCCATTCTTCTAATCTCCAGTGCCGATGTTTCTTGGCCCATTGCAGACGTAGCTGGCGATGACGTTCCGTCAGTGCATGGACATGCTTCGGCCTGCGACGGCGTAACCCATACGCAGCAATGTATGCTGTATAGCGCGTTGAAAAACACTGTCTGGGTCGCCACTGTTAAAGCTGGTGGTGATTTCGGTTGTTGTAGCTCTTTAATCCCTGCAAACAATGCGTAGCAATCTCCGCCCTCCTCTGGAGCCAATGTGCCGTCGACGACACACTGCTGGCCGGCGACTTGTCGTTTCACCATCCATGCACCACTTTCGATATGTGCTCACAACAACTGTACGTCAATAGCCCAGTAAACGCACCGTTTCTGATACTGATGTTCTCAGTCGCCGAGCCATAATGATTTGAGTTTTATCGACGTCTGATAAATAAAATCTGCTTTTCCCATTATGTCGCTAATCGGGCTATGTTTGGAAAGAGTTCCGATTTCCAGTTTATTTCCGCAATTAGCATGTGACATGCATGCTTTGTTCCGGCTGTCTTTCTTTACATTGCTTCTGTGAGCGCTTCAGGTATTCAATGCTTCAGAGTCGGTTCGCAGGACAGGCTAACAAAGGAGAGATGCGTGACCAGTAGTCACGTGGGTGCAGGAAGAAATCGTGTTAGTTTAGCGTTTCTAAGGCAATGGCCTGCAAAAATAATGTAAGAAGTCAATAAAGTACCTTAACACGTTGAGCGCGGCGCCGAATTTGCTGTCTTTTCCGTTCAGCCGGCAGCGATCTAAGCCGTAAAGCTAAGTCGTATTTTTGTTTAGAATGTTTCAAGACATTTCATTAAAACTAAAGCTGATCACATTTCATTGATATTATATTTATTTTTTTAATTTTAATACTGTCGGTCCCGCGGACCTACGCCAGCCAAACGAAAATTCCAGTACCGGTCCCCAGGGACCGACGCCGGCCACACGGAAAGTTCACTGCCGGTCCCCAGGGACCGGCGTCGCGCTTAACGTGTTAATAATAATAGTAGGGTATGTCATCGAAACTGTGTTTGGAAAGCAATCCATAGCCGCTTTATATACTCCAGCATCAGCCTCGCACGCCCATTGGTTTTTGTTTCTGGCCGAGCCCATTGTTATAGATGAAGGGTGGTCATAATGTAATGACTCTTCTGTGTATATTACTTTAAAATGCAATGATATCAGAAAAAGATAAAATTTTCTTTCAGGCTGTGCAGTACCTCCAGAAGCGGCTATGGTGTTTCGGCAAATAGCCGCTCACATTCTGCTAGTGAGTTTTAGGAGAGCTCGAAGCAACGATCTTTTCTGTTCTCTGCCGCCAGCTGATCAGTCTGTAATTTTACAAGATGTATGGGGAGAATTGTTTCTCTTACAAGCGGCTTACTGGCCGGTTGATATTCTTATAGTGGCAAAGCATATTGAAGAAGATGGAAAGGTAAATATAAAAATGTTGAACTCAAATGTCATACTATGGTTATATTATAAATTGTTAAGTAAATGAAGATTCGAAGAGCACTGTTCTTGTTTACAGCCCATTAGAATAGTGTACATCTGTTTTAAATAAATATCTTAAAGCAGATTAGAAAGTATTTTTGAAAGGCAGTTTTGTTAAGTTTCATAATCGGTGGCACAAACGTATTAAATTCTTTATTATTTAGAGCTAAATACTCATTTAGTACAAATTTTAACCCTTTATTTTTAATTGAGTTAAGCAGAAAAATAATTTCAAGTATCAAGTAGTCTGTTAACCGAGCCTTAAATCAGTTTTAAGAAATCATTGGGAAAATGTAGCAATATTAGAAATAGTACAGCAAAAATCATTAATATTCATGGAATTCTCTTATTAATGATTGATCTTTCGGCCTTTTTATCAGCGATGATCCATTAAATGACATTTCTATTGTGCATTACAACAAAAGCCTTTTTATCAGCCATGCTGAAGCTCTAGTCTTTACAGCAACATTCATATACCTGTCGTGTGGTTCTTTATTTGATAGAAATGCACTACAGTATATGTATTCATAAGGATCAAATATGTGCAAGGATAATATATGTATAAGGTAATATGGATAAAAAGGATAACATATGTTTTTAAAAACCTAATGGCCGATAAAACTACACACTAGATATTTGACAAAATTTCATAAGTTACGTAATGAAGTTTGTTTATTCCAGTTCTTTCTGTGAAAATATTTGCTACAAAATAAAGTATGCATTATTTGTTTGCATTACGTATTAAATATTTTCAACTACAAATTTGCTAGGAAGAGAAATAAAAGATGTATTCCCTTTGCTGCCAATGTTTTACTTTCTTCGTATAATCCACTGTTAAAGATTACAGTATGAATAATATAGAATTAAAATGAAGAATTTCACTATTTTGTGTTAATAGAATTTAGTTGAAATGTATTAAGAATTTTGTTCCGTAAAGGTGTTTAGTTGCTCCATAAAGATCACTGGTATGCATTAGTGATGCAAGTGTGAATTTAAACAGTTACGTGTTTAAAGCAGAAGAATTCCTGAAACAGGACATTTCTTAATGAAAACGGGAAATTGCATATGATATCTGCATAAGATTAGTATAAGATTAAAATTATTTCATTACTTTTACATGACCAAAGAAATTAAATTATAAATCATCTTAGTTTCTTATTCTAAACTGCATATGTGATTTTTCAGTAAACGAAGAATAATTTCGAAAGCTATAGGCAATTCCAGTATTATGAGTGATGCTAAAGTTTATTGCAATTTTTCTTCACGAGAAAAACGTCTGCAATTCCATGATGTATTATCCACTCACAGAATATGATCGAATCTTCAGATTGCTTCAAAAGTTTCATTATGCGATGATTCAATTCATAAAATTAAAGTGCACTTAAAAATTCAAAAATAAAGATATCGTAAATATTGAAGAACTAGAAAATTTACCTTCCTGATGGAATTCATCTGTTTTTGAGTAATGTAGTTCTTGAGTAATTTATTGAGTCTTCTTGAGTGAATAGAGAACATCGCTTTGTGAATTAATTGTTAAAAAAATGAGGCGCTGCGAAGCATAAAATTATGTCTAACAGAGTTTTAATATGTTATAATAAATATATATATATTATTTGAGAAATTACCAATCATCCTAATACTTGAAACGAGAAACTCAGATCAAACGAGTAATCAGTACCAAAGATAATACTTATGGATTAAGTTATTCAATTCAGGTATTTAATTGATTTTAATATGTGTGAAAAAGACTTTTCCAAATTACTTGTGTAATTAACGTTTTATCTTGAACATGCACTTTTCAAATTCTGATTTATTGAGGACTTTTTTGATATCAGAAAGCAATGCATGGTACGTCATAATGGAAGGTGCAAAACTGTATTAAATAGGCAGGTACGCAATTAATGATGGCAAGTCACATAAGAGTTAGGTACCCAGGGGGGGTTGCTTTTGTGGATGGCTTTTAAGAAAAGTTTGCTTTTACTGATGACACAGATGGTAAAAATTATGAAGAAAGTCCCCATGCAGCCAAATATCACTCGGCTGCCTAGTTCCTCATTACATAAAGTATTTGTTGTTACGAAAACTTGAATTGAAATATCACAACATTTTCTGATATTAAATATAAGTACTAAATAAGCCTATTTATGCAAATGAATGTTAAGCATTTTACTCTAAGAGCAAATAAATTTGATATGGCTTATATATAATATATAAGCAATATCAAATTTATATATATATATATATATATTAATATTTAAAAGTACTTTGAGTGTATCTTAAGTCTTAAAGCGGATTTACAATTTGTTTCAAAGACATTTGAAAAATATAGATTGAGTGGCTAAACCACCAGTAACTATGATCAAGACTTTGTAATTGTGATCCCAAATAAATAATTAATGGATACTTAAGAATAATATATTTTCTTTAAATCTCCTTCCACTTATTCCGAAAGGGATTAAAAATTTCTAACACATTATGGATATTGCATTTAAATTTAAGAGTTTATTTTTAAAGTCCCTTTGAAACCTCATTAATTTACATATTGTAGTTTTGCTATGACGTCTTATGAATGTATTAATTTTATAAATAAGAAAGAAACAGTTTTTAGTAATTAAAAAAACTGCTTCCTTTCAAATTAAAACAGAACTTAAATTTATTTAGTAAAATCAGGTGGAGAAAGAATGAAAACTTGATCATAAGCAGTAACTGTTAGCAGGGTTTCAAACTGAAGTCCAGGAGCTAATAAGCGGTTATATATAATTCATAACAAATTGTTCATTTACTTCAAATTAACAACAACAGAAAAATTTCAAAATTATGTAGAATAATTCAAGTTAGTTTATAATTGAAACACTTACCTCATTTCAAATTAATGTAGAAAAATCACCATTATATTTCCTAAATAATAATGAAATTCAGTAGGCGAATTAAAATTGATCCTTAAATAGTAACTGTAAGGAAGGCTTCTAATTATAGCATAAGAACTGCCAAGGAATAATAAATACACATTATTTCAAATTACATATATAATTTAACTCTACATATTGCCACGATATCTATATATAAATATGCTGTAATGAAAAAAATCTTTATTTTTATTAAATGAAGTAATGAAGTCGCATATGTCAGAAAAAAAGCTTCCTTACAGATTTCTTGTATTTTTAATTGAAGAGAATAAACACGTTTAGAGTTTTGTTCAACTTCCAATCCGTTTTAGTCTCTTATTTCGTTTCATGATACTGAAAATAATTTTAAAAATATAAAATTATATGCAAAACTTTACGGGCAAAGATTGAAAATAATTTTTATTCATTTAATACAGGTATTTAATATTATTTTCAGAATTATACAGCATAGCTTAAGGATATTCTGTACTGCATATTCGAAATCTGCCGTGCATTCTAAAGAAATGATATAAAATATTTTGATATAAAAATTAAGGATATTAAAGTTTCATAACGATTTGGAAATTAGAAGAATATTCTATAAACATTTAACCATTACATTTTATTACCATCTCGTTAAATTCATAGGTACAACAAAATCTAAATGTTAATATCAAAGATATAAAACAAATTACACAAGAAATGTATGACATTAATTAGTTTCAACAGATTCTTTTAAGAAAAAAAAAAAAAAAAAAAAAGGAATAACTAAAGTACTGAAAATGAAGAAAAAGGAAGTATAAAAATATATAGTTAAAACTTCCCGTAGATTTCTAAAATGTGCACATAAAAAGATTACTTTTTCTACAGGAGCTATTCAGTAGTTGCTTAAAAATTAACGAAATAAAATTATCATAATAACTTGGAGATCAGAGCAATATTTGACAAAATTTTACAATTCATACTTTTGAAGACACAAACCTTAATTATCAAGTAAAATAGATATTCATCTTCTTTTCAATGTAATAAAGTGCTGAAAACATGTAAGTCGATAATCTAACTTTCGTACAGCTTTCTTATATTTTTAATTAATTGCATATTATTATGAATATTCTTAGACACTTTTCATTTAACTTCTAGCTCTGTTTAATCATTTACTTTTTTTAATATGTAAAAGACTAAAAATATTAGACTAAAAATTCTTCAGGTAAAAGAGCAAAAAACATTGTCATTTACGTTATGGAGAAAAACATGCTCATTGCATACATAGTTACTTCTTTTGACTTTCAATATTAGTTTCAAAATCATACAGCACAGCTTAAGAGTATTGTAATGTATTATTTTCAAAAATCTGCTGGCAATTCTAAAGGAATGATTTGAATCATTTTGAAGCAAAAATTAAGGCAATGGAACAGCATAATAATCTGAGAATTATAATACAATTCGATAAATATTTAACCATTGCGTTTCATAAATTCTCCTTCTATACATCAGCACAACAAAGTCTAAATGATAACTTTCAAAGATATAAAACAAATTACAGATGAAATATATGAATTTAACTAGTTTCAACAGACTAACTAAAATTATGAATAAAGCACTGTATTTGGAAAAAAGGAAGTTTAAAAAAACATTTGAAATTCCCTGTCGATTTGTAAAACGTGCAAATAAAAAGAAGGAGAAAGTAAATGGTTGCAATAAAAATTAAGGTAATCAGGTTATCAAAATGACATTGGAGATCAAAGCAATATTTGGTAAATGTTCACATTTCATTCATTTCATGAACAAACCTAAGTTTTCGAATCATAGCAATAGTCATCCTTCTTTCAATTTAATGAAGTGATGAAAACGTATATGTCAGCAAACAACCATCCTATAAACTTTTTTAATTAATTACTTATTGATTATTATATGTATTCTTAGATATTTTCATTCGAATTTCAGCTCGATTTAATCACTTAACTCTTTTGAGTATGTAAAATTACTTTAATTATTTTTTTGCGATAAATGGGAGAGAAGCTTTCTTATTATAGTCATTTACGTTTGACATTCAACA